CAATTCCACAACGCAAAGGCGAACGGACACTGCCTGATCCAACTATCAACGGTTTAATCCCTTTTTTCAAGCTGCAAGAACCAGTAGAATACAAGCTTTTAACTCCAATTTAATTAAATGACCGTTTGCAGCTGATGTGAAACTGTCAAAAGAGGCTGGGATACAGCAAATTCGGCGTAATCAGGCCACTGCGGTGATATTACTCGGTGTAATGGGTGCCGAATTTGCGGAGGAAATGAATAAGGTAGGCGGCTGCTTGAGTTAATTTTTGGTTCAGAAATGTCCTCTTCGGCACTGTTTTCTAGGATTGCATGGAAAATTTTATTCGTTTGGAACGGAAAGCACGACACAAGAAGTGTAGAACTAATATCAAAAATAATACTGTTTTTCTGTTATCAAAAAATAAATTATTCGAGATCATGTTAGGCAATATGCCTTACGCTTCCTTCCGTATGTTTCATGGATGCGGATTTTTTCTGGAAAACTTGCAAAATTTTTCAGACACTTTTCGGAATTATGCGGCGCACCCAAATTTCCTACCTACTGTCAAATAGTAACTCAAATAGAGCCTTTGACTTTTTGTTGTTTGTGCTTGTTTTTAAAAAAAAAAGTAATGGCAGTATCTTACTTGGCGAAGCTTTCAAACTAAATCTTCCTACTTTGTTGAAAAGCTAGTAGAAGCAGCCAGGAGTTACTGAAAGTCAATAATCGGACATCGCTTACCTGCAGCGTTAATTACGTTGAGAGCTGCATATTAGGATTCAGGCGCTTACCCCGATATTTTTTGAACAAATATTAAAAAATTTGCTTTGCACTGGAATACGGGATTTGGCTTTTAATAATTTTAACTTTTTTTTTAAATCTAGCGACATTTTGTCAAAGTCGCCGTACTGATGAAGCCCAGCTGTAGCACTGCAAAAAATGTTTACCACTTAGTAAACTGAAACATTTCTTCCCAGTATGCTGACTTTTCAGAGTTTTAATTAAGATAACTTTATTTTCCCATAACATTTCCCACTTTCACTTCAAGTTCAATTTTAAATTCCTATATATTTGGTTGGGGAACTCCGGAAGTATTTCGTAATTTTTCTGTCTTATTTTTTCAGCGAAGAATTTTATATTCACTGTGCCGTTTTGCCGGTTGACATTAAGAAAAGTGTTTTGAAGCCTGCTTATTCTTTTTTCGAATTTTCATCAAAAGACATTTGGGTTCAAAAAAAAAAATGCGCGCAAAAATTTTATGTGTAATTGCTTACTCATATCGTATTTTATCTGAAAAGTTTTGCATATTATTTCGTATCGAAGCTATATTTCAGCTGGAAGCATCACGAGCAACTGCTCAGTGCCTGCTAGAATTGCTTGTTGCTCCAGCGACGCAACTTTTACCGTTTCATTCGCCACTTCGCCGTGCTGCAATAGACCTGCTTGGTCGGGGCTTCAGTGTTTGGCAGCCCCATTTGGACATCAGTAAGGTGTTGTTGGTCCTTCTAGAGCTCGCAACTACTAACGAAAAACAATCCCAGTAAGTTCTTTGCTTTCATCCCACGGCAAATGCCTTAGTATCTGTAATGAAACGAGGACTGGGTTTGCTATGCTTTTTATATTCTCCAGGAGGCCGGAGGTGCGGAACATGCCTTTAAACTGCTTCTGAAATGCTGCACACTGATTCAGTGGTTTTTAAAAAGATTATTCCATAATCGCCTGAAATCACCCAGTTCAGATTCATCTCAAAATACTTGTCGTATTCTGCTGTCCGTGGAAAAGAAATACACTTTTGGTGACCACGTCTCTTTCTCTCGCTGTTTTTCAGAATCGCGAATCCTGAGAAGCTAAAAGTTCGAGAACATCGCCTTTGCCGCTGCGCGCAGCCATAAACCTGAAGTTAAACTGCACTTGTCCTTCTGTCCGGAGCAATAGTAGCACCTCAAAATGGAATACACCGCGAATCTCCCTCTCTCTTTCCTCGTCACATTTTCAGCATACATTGTCTCCTTTAATTCCAGTTATATTCATTTCTGAAAGTACCAGCTTCAGAGATGCGATAGTGGCGACAGCGGGTATCATAACGCCATCTGTTGATGCATGCCAGACGGCTTCTCGTGCGTTGAGTTTGATTGCAGTGGCGCGCCCTCCGGCTGTGATTACTGCGTTAAGTAAAGAAGTCAGTTTTCTCAGGAATTCTTTTATTCTTACTTTCAGTTCTTGCAGTTTTCTACGCTTATCTCATGTTTTGCTGCATATAATAATTGTCCTTCCCTGATCGTTTTTTTTTTTTTTTTGTTTCCTAAGCCATGTAGCACTGTCATTTCCAAAAGAAAGGATTCGGCGTGAATTTTCTACAGGATTTTGCAACAGTGATATTGATTCTGACAGTGAACGAATCACCTTTTTCGCAGGGAATTTCTAAAAGGTGGCTTAAATACGTCGAAAAAGCGGTAGGTGCTAAGTGGAGACATGCAGCTCAGAATCGATGGACCTGGCATAGACTCGCCTGCTGTAGCAGCATCCCAATATCAGTGCTAATAGCCCAAACGCGTACTGATTGCCAGAGCAGTCTCAGTTCTCTTGGTTTTGGCTACTTTTCTGTTGAGCTCTGCATTTACTAGCCATTCTGCTCTGTCCATCCATGTTCCCCTCTCCTTCTCCTCTCTTCCATG